TCCTATTTTTGATATTTTTGGATATTTAAAATACTTCTTTGAGTTATTTTAACACTTATGATTAACAATCTATGTAGTTGAAGCATTTCTAATACTTATATGTATCACATATTTATTTTTGGGATGATTTCAACATATGGATTAACATATATGTTCATGTACGCATGTGATGAATGATTCGACAAGTCTAACGCAAAGGTACAGACCTAGAAATCATCGTCCGAAACCTTACGGATGAGCGGGAGTGGAAACAACATCGAAATTTGCCAACTTTGTCGTTTCCGTCACAACTGGACAGCCTGCGGTAATTTGGGCATATCTCCATCGTTTCTTCACGGAATTGCAAACCGTTTGATTCTGTGGATTCCTAAGATGTAAGGCTACAACTTTCGTATAGAAAGTATTTCGTTTTAACATATGTAAGATAGCGTAAATCGGACCTGAAGTCAAGGAATAGTTGCTGTCCAGAATTTCGGGTGTGTCGATGAACATGATTCCGACGATTAACTCACTAACTTCAATATTCTAACACCGAACCTTCTCTATGATACCTTCCGGATGTTCCTAATAATCGTTAGAGAGTTTATGGTAAGTGTTTGGAATGAAACAACATGGATATGGTGAGGAAACATAGCCAACCCGAGGAGCTCGCCACCACTGGCGCAGTCCCGGTATTTTGGCCATATCTTCTTCGTTACTTAACGAAATCGCGAGCCGTTTGTTGGGCTGGATTAGTATCGTCCGGGGCTACAACTTTGGTTCAGAAATTATTTCGAGATAATAGATGGAAAATTTCAGTTTTTACCTCAAAGTGGACTGATGTGTTTTGGTTTCAGGATTTTGAGACTTTATGGTTTTCTTCTTGCTTCTTCTTCTTCCTCCTTAGTATACAACCATGGAGCATTGATGTTTTCTTCTCCTTCTTTGGGCTGCCGACAGAGAGAGAGATGGAGAGGAGAATTGGATGAATGATGGTGGATGATGGTGATGGTGTATAATGATGATGGTGGTGGTGGAATTGTGTAGGAAAGGGTTGAGATTTGGAGTATTATGTAGATTTAATGTATTATTAAGTAGTGGAGAATAATGGGGTGGCTAGTGGAGTGACTTACGTGATTGGGGAGGGATTTTAGAATATTAGTTTTGGACTTTTGTCCAAACTGAACAGTTTACTCCAAACGGTACGCGCTTTTTCTCCCAAACTGCTCCGAATTGAAAACGGATTGTATTTTTGGAATGAGACTGTCAAAACTAGAATTTTGACATAATCAAAATATTTTTCTGAGAACTTTTATTTTTCTCAGTGTTCGGGTGTGTCTCAGTCATAAATTAATTTAATAATATAAATGATATAAAAATATATGAATTTAATCCAAATCTTGAATGTGATGTCGTCAAGTGTCAAAGATTAAGATTTCTAATCTTATGAAATCTCTTTTGAATTGAGTTTATTTTATGGGTCAAAGTTACAAATTTTAATATTTAAAATCGTCGTAGCTTGAAATCTATAAATCAGATTGGTTCATAAAATGTACCGTTGGATTTGTCTCTTCGAGACATATCCATAAAAATAAGATTTTAACAAAAAGTTATTATTTTTAAATCCATTTATTTTTTTAGTCAAACGTACAAATATTCCTTATTGGATAAAAATTACTTTTGTTTTATAATAAATTTTAGGCCATATTTTGTGGCGTTACATTTCTTTCCCCCTTAAAGAAATTTCGTCCCCGAAATTTCCTTAGGTGAAGTCATTTAAAATGATGATGTATAAAATCATGAATATCCATTGTTTTTATAAAACACCAATTTCGAAAAGTTGTTTTTCTCTTTGTTTTGTTGAGTGTCATGAGTATGACATACATGTTCTCTTTCGAGAAAGGATATACGCGGATGATAGGTGTAACGTGTTTGAATTCCTTTCTACCTCTGAACGCAGCTTATATGAGAATCTGAACGAGAACAGCACAACATCCTCATATCCAACGCAAAGAACTTACACCCCATTAAATGTTTTAAAGGCAAAGACTTTAAGAAACTCTTAGTAAGAGTCTCAAACAGACCTTACAACCAAAGTGTTTAATGCGGAGTAACACATGTTAGACCTTACTTAACAAAGATCCTTTGATGTTTTTACATAAGGGTATTTTGGAAAATGACTATTACTATAGTCATCATTCTAGGTTTCTTAGATGAATACGTAATTATAGTTTCAGAACTTGAACTCTCATTAGCGATCCTTAATGGAGTTACTCTGGCTAACATAATGTCAATAAGCTGATTAAAGCTTGTTTGTAACAGTTAACAAATATATCACACTTATGTATAACAATAATATATGTTTTTATCATATCGTAATGATTGAATGAACGTGTTGGATAACATTTTTTTTTGTCACTATTTGTCTTATCAAGATGATATGTAGTCATTCTTGAATACTGATTTTCTGATTGATGATTCCAGAATTGCCTTGGAATTTCAGACTTTCTCAATAATTATGATAGAGCTTCGTGCTCGAAAATTATAATATTAGTGTATTTGTCATATCACTAATATTCTTATTTCACATAATAGTTGCATTGCTTATTGCCAAAAACATGATAACTTATACACATAGTCATATTCTAATATGTTTGGGATTCTACTCACACATGTGTGATTTCTCTTGATGGTCCGCCCAATTGACTTGGGTAGGGATCATATTCACCTTTAGTGTAGTCGTATTCACCACACAAGTGACAACTTTTTCTTTCTAGTTGTTGCACATATGTTCCTTTGTTAAGGTCAAAGCAGAGTTTCTTGATCATCATTGATAATAATCTTCATAGATAACGTAGTCACATCAACCGTTTAGTAGTTCACAGGGTATGGTTTTTGAAGATCGGTATCATAAAACATCTTCTTGGGTTTGAGGGAGATTCATGAGTTACAACAAGTTCTTCAATGATTTGATACAGAAAATGGAATTCAATCTTTTCAAGATTGATCAAGTGAGATGCTTCAAGTGTGTAATTAACACAGCAAGTTTTAGTATTTCAAGGATGCGAGTCACAAAATACAAAGATAACATTTGCGAATTACCACTCAATGTTTCGCCCTTTGAAAATTACTCAAGAGTCATTCTCTAGGGAAGTAGTCATTTTGACTTTTCGTCTCGGATTTGAATGTACTTCAGGACAACGAGCCTAACTATTCATGAGTCTCAATATGTCATGTCGTCAGCAAACTGTAGTATTGGCGAGTACATTCTTGTCTGGAGCAAATCCACTTTCCTGTACGTTTTTAGACTAGTGATAATTACTTTTCCATCAATGGTCCAGTTTCAGAGTCTATATATACCAAATTGTGGCAAGAGCGTCTCACATTCTCACATTATGGAAGGAACTTCTCGAGCTCTTTCTAATACCATAAGATTCGTTGGTCTACTTGGTAGTCATGCTCTTGGTAGTAATCCAAGGTTCATGGCTACAGCGGTTGATCTCGGACGAGAATTGGTAAGGCGAAAAATCAGGCTTACCTACGGAGGAGGCAACGTTGGCCTTCAAGGAGCTGTAGCTTCAACAGTCTATAATATTGGTGGTAGAGTCAGAGGTTTCATACCAGGGTATATAGCAACACGAGGGGTCTATGGACCAACATATGGTGCGGAGTACACCGTCTCCAGCAATTACTATAAGTATTTCGAGATGAATCATATTGTGGAAGCCTTCATTGTACTTCCTGGAGGGATTGACACTATCGAAGGTTTGTTCACCTTAATCTCATGGGCATCTGAAGGGTTGCACAGCAGACCTATTGGTCTCTTAAACATTGACGGTTATTTCAATAACCTAATCAAGTTTCTAGATGATGCGGTGAGGCAGAACTTCATGGCTTTGAATCAGAGGAAACTGTTCATTTCTTCTTTCTTTGTTGATGAGCTTTTGGACAAGCTAGAGTTTGCTAA